GAATCCTGAGATTTTCTAGCTCTGAAAGTTAGATATTCAGAAAATCTCTCAAAAAAAGGTTCCCCCGAATCACAAGCATTTTACCCCTACTCTGGTAATCGGTTTCCAACCAGATTCGGGAAAATTTTGGAGCAGAAATGGCTAGATCTGGTTAGAAAATTGTCCGAATCAGGTTGGAAAATTAGCTTTTTCGGTCGGATCTGGTCAGAAAATCACCAGATCTGGTCGGAAAATAAAAAGTTTCCGAATCTGGTTGGAATTTTACTCGAATCTGGTTGGCAAATGCGCGTTCAATTGTCTATTTGCCGAAGAACTTTGATCAGTCTCACAACTACAGCGAAACGACCTCAAAATTTGAGGCTCAAATTAGCAAAATAGAAATCTAAAAATTCTAAAAAACAGAGACATATTCATCATCAATGACACAAGATAATAAGCCGCGATTTAGACGAAAAAAGATTTCCACACCGAGCAGAGCTCCCGCCCTCTTTTCTTTTTTGCTTGTCTCTTCTTCTTTTTTTGTCACCATCTCATTTGAAGGGGTCTCTTTGAAGAAGCAAGCAAAATGGGTAAATACGAACACATATACTTCTGTGTGGTTGTATAGATGGATGTCGATATTTTTTTGGGAAAAATAGAGAGAGAGAAGAACTAGAATGGAAATCTAGGGTCTCGTGACCCTTATCCAGGATGAACTGAAACCAACAAGACAAGCTTTTCAAATGGTATTTTCTTTAATAGAAGCCCACCCAACTTTGAGCTCAATTATCTCCATTCCTGTAAAAGATATTGAACAACTTTCAACTGATAAAATATGGGTAATTTTACGAAAAGTATTTCATCAGTTGACACATTTTAACACCTTTTGAGCGAACCGAGATAATGGAGCTCAAAGTTGACGGTTTCGGTGGGCTTCTATTAAAGCATCTATACTGTAGATTCTACAGTAAACTGAAGTGATACGTTGGGATGAAACCAAAAAGGCAAAAGCTTCAAAATTCCAAGCCATCCTAAACCCCTCGTAAAATAGTAACGTAAACTCCAGGACTCTCCCGAGAATTCAGTAGTCAAGATAAATCTGGGCCATAAATATCAGGCAAAGTGTCGATTCCACCTATTACACAATCAACACCGGCGACTCCCCCTTCTCAACTCGCGCTTCGTTGTTTTTATTTCAATGTGGACCGCCCAGTGTGAACCTCGGAAAAGGTGTCAAGTTGCAGAAAGACCGGTTGTTCGTGTTCATCTAATGATCTCATTTTTCTTTTTAAAATTTGTCGGGGTTGCGCAATTATGTCCTAGACCTCAAGAACGCTTTTTGGAGTAATGTGGACAAAAACTATTACAAAATATTAGATGTTGAAACAACTAAAGATTGTATAAAACGGAAGTGTTATTTTGTTCAGGTTCAGGGATTTCGAAACTGCACTTCCTGTTGCTTAGTTTACAAAAATAAACCTCCTTCTCTAATATTCAAAAATCTCTTCACTCCTCCTGCCTAAAAGTATCCACCCACAAGGAGCTTGTTTGCACTTATCCCCCTCTTCGCCATACGGATTTTAAATTAGCAAATCCCTAATTCTTTTTTCCGTAAAATTTCGAAAACTTGAAACTTGGCAAAACACACTTGAAGCAGGCAAGTGCAGCGATGAAAAGCGTCAATAAATAAGTTCCTTCTGGGAAAAAAAAGAAAGGATGGAGAAAAAAGTTTAAAAAAGGGGACATGACACCACCGGGTACCGGTATAAACAAAACTAAGAAGATGAAGCTGAATGCAGAGAGAACAAGAAAAGTGTAAAAAGGTGGTTTCCTCTCATTTAAATGAATGATTTGGTGGGTTCTCTCTTGAGTGTGATATTTCGTAGTGACACTCCTTTTGAGAGGTAATTTGATTAAGTTCTGGTTCTCGGTTCGAAGTATAATTCAATCGAAAATCTCACGAGTAGAAAGTTTCTGGTAGCATATTTTATTAGGAATTCACTTTTGAATTTATGTCCATTCAATGTGTCGCAGGAAGAACTTGAATATTCAATGGCAAATCGGAGAGTGCGAAAAGTTCGGGGGGAGAATAAATTGCTGGGAAGATGATGATGATGATGATGATACAGAGAGAAAAGGACATGTGGTTTTGATAAGTTTCGAAGCAGAAAAACCAGCATGGTTGGGGTTTAGCACAAAACGATCGTTGGTCCATGGAACATAAGGAAGAAAAAAAACTAAACAAAAGGACGTTATCCATTGGATTCTACAGTAGTCTTTTAATCGAAAAGAAATAAACAAAACTCAAGCATTTTCTACCGTACTCTTGGTAAAATACGGAAGCACAAAATTTCGAAACTTCTTTGAAAAATGATTCATAGTGATGTTTCAATGACTCCTTGTGGTATGAAACATCGTGAATCTTTTTATAGACTCAATAGACACCAAAAAGCAATTTTGAACTTTTCGTATCCCTCTCCTTTGTAAGCCCTTTGACCTTCTTCATAGGAACAAAAAACACAAGTCACCGCAACTACTACAGTAAGTCTCAACTTTTCGCCACTTTCAAATATTTGATGACCTACTTGTGACCTGCAATCTTACGCATGTAATCCTGATACATTGGCACAACATATTCCGAGAAAAAAGAAAAGAGCAAACTAGCGTTAAACCAGTGCAGTAAAGAATGACAACTGGGTCACATGTGGAAGTGACAAAACGAAAGACCTTATCAATTTAACTGTCGACCTTAAAATTTTCTTGTAAAGGGTACTGGTCGAAGTACAGAACAAGAACAGTTGATTGATTGCTCGACAAGGAGAAAAAACTTGAGACAGAAATCCTTTTGTATGTTTTGCTCCTTCCGCTCGGAGAGCCAACAGGTTTTGAATCATTGGTGCAAAAAAAAATTGAAAACCCAAAGAAGATGCAGGTGTTTCTTGCGCATGGAAAAAAACACGTCAAAATCGTGTTGTTTTCGGATTCAGCTGTCCGGCAAGTTTCCGGTGAAAGTGGTGTCCGATTCATGCTTTGACAGTGGCGTTTTGTATAAGTGTCGAAGGATATTCAAATGATTGGTCTTTGAAGTGGATAATGATTTAATTTGAAAATAGGAAAAAATCAGAAGATGGGAAGGGTAATTGATGTCATGGGGCCATAAGATTTTAGGATTTCTGATATTCTAAGATTCCCGGAATTATGAACGATTTTCAGATTTTAAGGTTCTGAGATACAAAACATACGAGTTGTGGAAGAGAAAGCTGGTGGCCGTGGCCGAAGGTCTTACAACGACAACACAGTAACCTAAAACTATTTTTATTTACAGAAAAGGCCCTGAAATTGATACTTTGTCGATTTTCGAAAACTCAAAAACCAAAAAATATAAAATCTTCAAATTTTCGAAATTCCAAGATTTTAAAAATCCGAAAATCTAAATAATTCCAAAAATCGAAAAAAAAATCAAAAAATTTTCAAAAAACCCTAAATTTTCAAAATAGTACCAATAAATGGAGTTTCTCTTACTCAGTACCGATTTTTTAGTTCCAAGTATAATAATTGCTCTTACAGTACTCATATATTTTTCAATTGAATGAAAACTATTCAAAACGCTAGAAAAAAAAGATAAAAGCTAGCCGAGGCATCAGACATATAAGGATTAGGCGTTCAAATATTTGGTGTTGACACTGAGACAGCAGAACATGAAAAAGAAAACACGAGAAACCTTTGTATGGAAGAATGAAAAATCTCAAAACACCACAATACCCCCTTCCCTTCTATTTCTTCTCCCACCCACCGGTCACTCAGTCGGTCGCCCATTCACTTCCCGAAACAAAAAAAAACAAACAATCAAAACCAAATCTCGCTTCTGAAAAAGAGAACCGGTTGGCTTTCGGAGCAGAACACATGTTCGCAAACATAATGACGCATTTTTGAGGAAGTTCTTAACGGTGGGATGAACAAAACAAAGGAAAGTGAGATCTTGAATTCGGCAACAATTCAAAATCTCGTCAGGTGAGAAAATTGGGACAAGAGATGAATGGGATTTCTCGGGGTGCCTGGAATGTGTGGAGTGCGTGAAAAAAAAAGAAAAATGGGGCGGCTTCAGACTGACATTTGTCGAGAACATTTGTCAAAAATGCTTCTCTGACCCCTGCCGCCGCCGTTGGCACCTGCAAGTTCCTCCACCAAGCAATTATGTACTTGTTTGCAACTAGCTTCTTTTACGGAGAGTTCTTCTCAAATAAAAATAGCAACATAATGGGGTGGTGAAAGGGAAGAAGAAAAAGTTTCGCTTCTGTTTCCGTGGAGCATGTTCGAGACTCGTGTCCAGTGTGCAGTGGAATCAGAGTCAGCTGTCGTGCCCTCTACGTTTTTCCGGAGTGTATTCAATCTTCAACAAATTATTGGACACACTCATAAATTTAAATTAATTTAACGGAGCCGCCAGTGTTATCATCTGATCCGAAACAAGTGATATATAACATTTGAGGAACAAGTGGTTGTTTAAAAATAGAGCAAGAAATTCGAAACCCTATATTTTTATCAATTCTCTCTTGTCACTCCTAGCTCAAAGTCCATCGATTGTTTTAAAGTTTTTATCGCTTATCACTTACTGGGTAAGAGAATTTTCGATTCGAATTAAAATTTTTGAAATCACTGAAATGTCAATTGGGAATTTTGAAATAATTTTTTAGGTGAATAGAAAAAAGCAATATGAAAAAAATGAGCAAGAAAAAAGAAACAGCGCGCGGATAGGACATGAAGATATCAAATTTCTAAAACGATGGATCACAAGGGCTTCTCATTAAAAGCACAGAAATATGGACAAACGCCGTGATTTTACTGGAAAAAAACACAAAACTACCCAAAGACAGTTATTTATAATCACCGGCAATTCAATATTTAAACGTCACAGATTATACACGACAACCGGAAGTAAAGGAAGAAAGGCAGTGATAATTATACAGACAAAAAGCTCAATAGAAAAAATTGATTTAGCACTATAACAAACTACAGTATCCCTAGGAAATCGTTTCAAGATTGGGTTCTGTATCTTCCATCTTCGGATTCTCTTCTTCGTATTTCTCTCGGAGAGCTTTCAGTTCTTCAAGGAGACGATGGTTCGATCTATGACGATATCTGAACGGTTCCTCTCCGTCTTGTTCTAGATGACGTAGTCCATTGTCAACTCCTTCTGGGAGAACTGTAGGGAAATAGTCAATGAGTTCGTGACGTGGCAAAGCTTCGTGCATCGTTCGGATGAATTCCGAGGGAAGAGTCTGAAAGATAAAGATGGATTGAATGAGCAATTTTCATGATATTATTCTGCTAGAAAAAATCGGAGCTGTGGAAGAGAAACGCCGAAGTTCCCACAACGAAAACTACCGTAACCTAAAAATTATGTTACTATTCTCCAAAAAAGTCGGAGAATGATATTTGAAAAAAATTACGAAAATCGAGTAAATAAAAATATTATTAGGTTACGGTAGTTACCGGCGCTTCTCTTCCACATCTCCAATTTTTTTGAACCAGAATAATAAGCTTACAATCTTCTTCACGATGAGTCCCGAAATGAAAAGTGGTACAGAAATTGCCTTGACACAACTCATATAAAGTTTTTTGAATGCAACCGAATCGTTACTTTCGATAAACCTGTACAGATCTCCGTATACATCCATTTCGGCTGTTAGAAAAGCGTAGCAGTCTTCAGTACCAAGTCGTTGCATTCCACAGATTCTCGAATCGCAATGAATCTCCTCCGCTGGTTGGACACCATACAGAACGTTGGCTTTGATCAATGCATGTGCTATTTCGTCTACGATCTTCGGGCTTTTAGACATTTTGAAGCATTCTAAAGATTCTGGATACCATCCGAATAGATCTGCTAACAGTCCCAGATGGTAGAGGATGTTAGAATCGGCGCCAACGAGAAACCTCAGATCGGCGATTGGCTCGAAATCGAGAGCAGCAGTGGCCGAATCGAACCTATGCTGGCTTTTCTGAAAATTTGAAAAATGGTTCGAAAAAAATAATTTTTAGATCGAACCTTCAAACTATTACATAAATAAGATGAGTATCCAACTACAGCGTGCAAGGTAGGACGAACATAAAGTGATTGTCTGAACATTGCAAGAGCTTCATTATCCACCCCTTGTAGATGTGCAGTTTGAGCCCATGTACACCACGCATCTGCATTCTGTGGATCGTATTTGATGGCTTGTTCCAAAAGACGAGACGCTTCGTTCATTCTTCCAATGCTGAGACACAGAACTGCCGTACTTAGCCATGCTTTATCATTTGACTTATTCAATTCGAGTGCACGAGCTAGACAATGAAGTTGATGAGATATCGGATCTTCGGCATTTCTTTTTGCCTCGGCGAGAAGAGTCCAAATTGAAGAAAGCAGTGTGTTATCCGTGGTAAGGGAGAGAGCATGCTCTAGCATCTGCTGTACTTTGACAAGTATGTTTTGATCTTTTTCGAATTTGTACTTTGTCAGCAAAGAGATCGAAACATCGTACCATCCAAGAGCATTTTTCTCCTCGAACCTTAACACTGCAATGTAGAATGATAAAGCTTTGGTCACACAATCCAAGGGAGTCTCAATCTGAAAAAAATCGAAAATTTGGGAGAACCATATTTATCTAGCAAAAATACCTCCCACGTCTCTTCAATTTCAAAGTACTGAAGAGAAGCATAATTCGAGACAACCATCAACGCATCACCAAGAAGTTTAAAAACTGTAGAATACTGACAACCACCATGGTCACCAATGCATTTTGTCAGCAGACTGAACGATTTTTTCAAATGATACAGCTTCTGTTCACCACAGGATTTTTCATGAAGATTCAGTCGGACTTCAGCTTCAGTGAAATTCAGAACAATTGCGGATTCGTGCCCAAAAACAAGATTTTCGTTTGCGATTTTCTCTCGGAGCTCAATTATTTTGTCCAGAGCCTCATCGCACTGACGGAGTTGAAGCATGATTCTGACGATCTGAAATTCGAATTGATTTGATTAGATAGAACCTTTCTTTGAAACTTACAGGTATATAAAACTCATGTCCATCCTTCATTTCTGCCAACTGGGTATACGAACTGACAGCTGCCATAAGGTGCCCTTTTCTAGTGTATGCATCTGCGAGACGTGCCCAGATGATCTTATTATCTGGATATTGACGGACCATTCGTTGAAGTTCTTCAATTGCTTCTGTCAATTTTCCGGTTTCGAGGTAGAGTGTAGTCAGGGCATCAGATAGCCAGAATGGTCTCCTTCGAATCTTGTCATCTGATAACTGTGTCTCCAGAACCTTCAATTTCTGTTCTGCCGTTGCTCCTTTCTTCGTTAGCAAATCGTAGAGCAATTTGGTGTATTCTCCGTTGGTTGGACAAATTTGAATTGCTCGCTCTATTAACGATTTTGCTTTAGTTGGATTTTTTGCCGATAAACTGTTGGCAAGCAGGTAAAAAGCTCGACTACACCGGACGTTCAATTTGGCAGCTTTTACAAGATACGAATTGGCATCAAGGCCAGCACGAATTCGAACTTCCGCAGTGATAAGTAAATTTTTACAGCTATCGCCAGGTAGTTGTTCAGCTAGTTTCACTTCTTCAGATGTCACTGGATCATTAGAATATAGATTTTTCGTTAGGCGTAGCAGGATGACAAAGTTTGAGTCCTTGCATTGCTCCAAAAGATGTATATGGTTATCCTTGCCAGTCAGTACCGCAATCTTAATCTCTTCCACTGCGAACTCTGGAAGTGGAAGGTCACCCAGAGCTCGAAGTTTTTCTGGCGAATCTGGAGATATCTCGAGAAGTGCTCTTGCAATCCAGCCATTGCATATCGCTGATGGATACACTTTGAATATTGAGCGAGCTAGCTTTTCGACAGCTTCCCAGTTTTCAGTTTCAGCAATCAATCCAATAAATATGAGACTATCCGGGTATGCAGAATGATCTGTGACGGAATCCAATGCTTCTATGGCAGCTGGAATATCGTTTTCTCTGAAACACCAAATTGTTTTTGTAGAATCCTGATAGTGTATCTAACCTCAATTCATTCAACACCGCTTTTGTCGCTGGAGATATTTTCAAAACGTATTTCACAAACTCTGGAAATTCCTTCGAAGCGAAATACTGCTGGCAAGAGTATTCGAACAGTTTGTTCTGCACCCAGTCATCAGTAACCATGTCTTCATGATTTTCCACTAGTCTTTTGAGCGATTTTGCTGTCTTTTTGAATTTACAGTACAGGAGCATTGTATCAGCATCTTTTTCAAGCATTTTTGTGTCTTCTAGAGCTTGGAAGCATCGTTCAAGAAGTGGTTCGAATGTAGGCTGTGAGCTGATTTTCTGAACAACCCGTCGAACATTTTCAGAATCCGTACTGAATTCCATTTCGTCAAAGTTTTGCATAATTTCTTTCCACAGCCCCATTTCTACATGAATTCTCCTTCTAGCCTGGGCAGCTTGGTCCTTTTTATCCTCTCTGCAAGAAACAACTTAATATGAATTCTTTCAAATAAAATTTTCCATTCTCACTCACCCATTTTTCTGCATGAATTCGCAAGCTTTTAAAGCGAATTGGTCAGGTGTCGTGTGCGACTCGGCTTCGAATAATTTGAAGAGTCCCTTCCACGCCATCAAGTTTGCCTCGTCGATTTGAACCGCCTTTTTGTACATTTGATAACTATCATCATACTTTTGAATGTTCGAGTAGGCGAGTGCAATGAAGCAGAAAACTCGGTAGTCAGGAGAAGTGTCATCTGTGTGCTCCTGAAATTTTTTTTGTGTTTTTTAAACTCCCAAACGTCTTTACGCACTTTTAGCAACTCAATAACTTCCTCATTGTTGCCAGATTTCAATAAACTTGCAGCAGATTTTAAGTCTTCCTTTAAGTTACCCATTTCTGAAATGAAACCTGGTGTAAATTTCAGCTCAAAACATACTTTTTTGAATTAAAAAAATGCAAAAAAGTATTATGCAAGGGCGCTCCGACTACATGCTGAAAAGAGAGGAGGCGCAGACATAAAATCGGCGGGAGTTTTAAATAGTGTTTTTTGTGAATCTTTGCATGCGGGCGGCGCTCATGTCGATTTACGAGGCCCCGCCCCTAAATCCGATACTGTATTTAACGAAAGGAATTTCTGAATTTTTTGTGGGATTTTCTGAACCGAATTGAGATTTCTCTTCAGAAATATGATCTCTCGCGTCTCTGAAATCCATTTTACACTGAAGAAATCGAAATAATTTTTTTTGCAAAAACAGACCGAACGAGGCAAATTTCTGAAACATTAAAATCATAAAAGTTGCATTTCCATTCGATTCTGTTATATTTTGTGTTTTCAACTCCACTTCTTCTGTCAAAACGTTCATCACCAGAGTCAAACTTAGCTCGCCTTCTAAATAGCACTTTTTGGTTTTAAGTAGAACAGAATCTAAAATCGTTGGTTTTCAAAGTTTGATGAGTCCACCGAGAAGACAAGTGTGGAGCAGTTCCGACAAGTCGAAAAACAGGGGTGAAAAGTGGGTGAGAACTGAAAAGTGGGTATATTATGTGATCGGAAGAGACTGCAGATATTTCGACAACTGCAGTTCTGATGTAAGACGAATGAATGTACGCTCAAAAACAATTTGTGTTTTATATCGACGTTCTCTGGTTGTTCTGCACAAGAAGATCAGTTTAGTTTCTATACTAGAAGGTGTAGTTTATTTTTTAGGTTTTCGAGGTATTGTAGCATTAAAAATATTTCATTTATCATCTTCAGATTGAAATTACAAAAGTTTTCAACTAATAAAAGGTTCACCATAATATCAGAAGTGTTTTATCAGTTGACCAATTTTTAATATCTTTCACAGGAATCGATATAATTGAGCTCAAACCTGACCCTGTGGGGCCCGTCTATTACAGGTTTTACGGTAAGTCATTATCTAACTATTTCCTAAATCTTGTCCTAACAAGAGGCAGTTTCGCTATGCAGAATTTTCTGAATCTACAGTAATCTGATTTTCATCGGACCAAAAAATATTTAACCATTTGTATCTGATTCCAGAACTCAGTTCAAGATACCAAATGTTTCCTTTTTATTTTCTTGTTACGGATTTTTGTCAATTGTTCTGTTTTTTCCCCAAACAAATCGGAAAATTGGAATTTTTGATAGTGAAAACAAAGAAAATGAAAACATTTTTAGGTTACGGTAGTTGTCGTTGTGGGACCTCTAGCCACTGCCATCGGCGTTACTACTATCCACATCTCCGATATTTTTCGAATCAGCATAAAAACAGAAACTTGCAATATGATCCGGATAATCTTCCAAAAACCTTATATCAAGTGTTCAGCGATAGAAAATAGCTATTTCTCAACAGGTATCTTTCTCCTTTTCTCAGTTTGTATTGCGTCAAAAGCTTCAAACATCCCCACAAAACCATCAAGTGGTCTCAATTCATCAAATCAGTCACATTTTACCCTCTCAAAAATCATTTTCATGGGTTTTCCTCTTTTCTCTCTGGGATCTTCCACCACCTCCAGGAGAAACATAGGAATGAGGTGTTTGTGTGGGAGTCTAGAGTTAAAGAAAAAAGTGAAACACATGCCTTTTCCCCCCATCTCTTATGTCATCAACGTGTCAAGAGAAGAGAGAAAAGGTTGGAAAAGAGTAATTCGACCTTCGAAAAAAAGAGCAGAACTACTCTTCATGGTTCTTTTTTACCTTTCTTCCTCTCTTTTTGATCTTTCTTTTTTCTTTTTTCTGCTTTTATCAGTTTTTGAAAAAACGGAAATTCTTAGGTTTCGGACACCCCTCATTCTATTTTTTCTTTTTGTGGTTCAAAAAAACCTTGCCTAATCTGAAAAACAACTTTGTTCGCTTCATTTCAATTTGGGTCTCGCGGAAAGTGATGCACCAGTCCCTGCTCAATAATTCACTCGTTCCGCAATGAGTTTGCTTATTTTGTTCCACTTTATTTTGCTGACAAGAGAGAAAATGGATTTTTAGTGAATTTTATAGGAATTTTAGATTTTGTGGAAAAAGGGTTAAAGGGGATCCGATTAAAGTTGTAGGTTTTTTTTTGCATTAAACTGTTCCCAAAGATGTATTATCCTAATATTGTTACGAAAAGTTTTTGAAAAATCCGAAACCCCCGAAAAATGCAGTTTAAAGTGAACATTGTGCTAGAAAAGTGGCCAATATGGACGAGGATTCGAATTCCCGCGCAGAGAGAAATCTAGGGCACGGCGACAGAAAACATTTTTCATGTGCCCGACAGCGACTTTTTACGGGCCGGATACCATCAAGCCTGTAATAGAAGGGCACCCCACTGTCAGTTTTGAGCTAATTTACCTCGGTTTTTGTAGAAGCTATCAAAAAATGGTCAACTGATAAAATGTTTGTGATATAATAAAATTTTGTTAGTTAGCAACTTTCTTATATCTTTGACAGGAAAGGAAAAAAATTGGCTCAAACTTAAACGTTAGGGAACCTTTCTATTACAGGTTTTGAGGTATAAAATCGGAACAAAACCTGTCAAATTGCCTCTCGTAGTGGGAGGCCCGGTACTGTAGCCTAGATTTCTCACTGCGCTTGAATTCAAATTTTCGTAACTATTCGCCAAATTTATTATTTCTTTTTCTTCGGGGACTTTAGATTTGTTTTGAATTTTCTCGCAATCATATTAGAAAATTAATTTTTTAAAAGTATTTTAATGTAATTAAAATTTTTTATCGGAGCTCCCTTTTGAAAAGGCTTTTAAATGACTTCTCTATTTACTGGGAAATTAAAGTCACTCCAAACAACTCTCCTCAACACTTCTACCACCAACTATTTATAATCCTTCTGGTTTCAAAACTCATTTGTCTTATTCCCATCTGACTTTTCACGTCTTCTCAGTTTCTAATCCCTTCTTCAGTGCCTTTCTGGCGTCAAATGGGTGTGACCGCACTGGTTGGCGGCATCTTTTCCATGGCCCCTTGCTGGGAATGAAAATCTGGGATTGTGAAATTGGAAATGCAAAATGTCAACTTGAGTTAAGTTGACATGTCCTTTGGTTCTAGAAGCCGACATTTTGAAAAACGATTCATCTTCTGGTGTATTCCTGGAATTGTAGTGTAGAATGATTTCTTATTTTGAGATTTAATCTTGTGATATTTCCATTCCATTTTGATTTCAGCAGCTATACGAAAATTTCGGTCTTTGAAGGCCTTTTGCATGTCTATAAATCTGGGAACGACTATTTCCCGAATAATTTAGTACAACCTTTTTTTCTCATCTTATCTCTACGTTCCCTTTAAAAAGGGGCGTGACCTATTTCTTCCGATGCACCCTCACTTGTTTGGTTGTCACCTGTACACAAGACAAAGTACCCAATCTTTTCTCCCATTATTTATATGGCCATGTCCCTCTCAACCACTATCTCCTCAAAATCTTGTTCTCCTTGACTCATTCTTCGATACTATCTTACCCACCCGCATATTCATTCCTCTTTTCCCCTCCATTGTTCTTTTTTTACACTTCTAACAAGTGCTCTTCTCCAAAAAAGGATCCACCTGCCACATTCATCCATCACACATTTTTTGTTTCTGTTATTAGGCCCACGGGAGCGATTTTTGGCCTGTGTTTCTGTTGGTTTTCCACCATTTGGACCCGCTTTTCCGTTTTTCGCCGTATTTTTGGTATAGCATCTTCTCCTTCTCTAACTTTTGGTCGGCTCTTTTTGAGCATTCATAAAGGAGTTGGGCGGTGCGCGCGAGGAATTGAATTACCGTAGGAAAATGGAGGCAAAAGTTAGAATAGAGAGACAACAAAGTTGATTAACTTCTCATCTCCATAATAATGCCCTCTTTCCTCTTCTCCGGTGCATCTCGATTCTCCTTCTCCCATCTTTAGTCTCTTCTCTAGCGACAATAATGAGAAAGTGTTGATGGAGTGTTGGAGATGACTAACTCAACAAAAAGGCTCCGAGGCGGAGTCAATTTAGTGAGATAGAGCACACCCGAATTGCTAATGGAGAATGACGGGAGGAGAGGGGTGTGTATTCGGATGGATGAAAAGAGAAGTGGATCATTCGATATTCTTCACAACCCATGACCATGAAAGCTCTTTTTTGTTCAGTTCTCTAGTTTTTTTCTTAAATCTTCTTACGGTTTTCTATTTGGTACAGTAAGATTTTTGGAGTGGAGATAGACCATAAAATTGTTTGTTTTTTTTCGGTTTATAGTTAATAGTGGTTTGTGTTATGAAATCCAATCCGACCATTTTTGGGAGAAGTTCTTCAAAAATTTAATGATGGCCTAGACATGGGGAAGATTTTGGCAGCTCCTTGAAAACACGCAAACTCAATATAATCAAATTATTGAGCCTTGGCAATTTACCGTGAAATCTGTAATAAGCGCCCCCCTAACTTTTAACTTTGAGCCAATTTATCTCGTTTCCTGTAAAAGATATAAAAATATGTCAACGGATAAGATGTTTCTTATAACTTCAGAACTATTTTGTCAGTTGACACATTTTGGATATCGTGCACAGGGACTAAGATAATTGAGCTCAAAGTTTACAGTGTGGGGGACTTTCTAGTATAGGTTTCAGGGCAAATGCAAACCTTCAATAAGACCATTTCTAACATTCCGAAACAGTCTAACAAAGATCAGTCTTGAAAAAACGTTCTTAATTTGGACACGGTATTTACATTGCTCAGGATATTCTGAAACACTTCCAAAAAAGCTACTGTAACACTCTAATAGAATGCCACCCAAACTTTCCACTTCAATTACAGGTTTTACGTATATCTCATTTCCTGCAAAAGATACCAAAAAGTGTTAAACTGACAAAACATGTTGATAAACATTTTTTATATTATGATAAACATTTTGTCAGTCAATTACTTTCTGATATCTTATACAGAAAATGAGATATAATGGCTCAAAGTTGAAAGTTTGGTTGGCGTTCTATTATAGTGTTTACGGCAATTCAATTTTAGGTTTGCAGTACTCTTTTCCATTTTTATCCCCACGTTTTTGAACCGTGTGGCGAAAAATTCAGCGCGGTTCTTTCGTCCCAAATCCCGAATTCGTCTTCCTTTTCACACTCCGTAATTACATTTCCGTCCATTCATTATCCACACTCAATTTGACCTCCCCCTTTTCTCCATTTTTGTCAATCTTCCGAAAAACGGATTCAAGGATTCTTTTATGGGCTCCACTCCGTCTTCTTTTATTTTTCCAAAGAGAGGACATCCGACTCGAGTTAATTAGAAATGTGGTCGCAAAAACGCCTCTTTTTACTTCCTCTTTTTACTCCATGGGAGCATCTAGTCCTTTTTTTCAAGAGAATGATGAAGCGGTACAAAAAAACCGGAAGGAAAAACCAGTTGACTTGTCGTGAAAAATGTGTACGATGGACGTGTTATGGAGAAGATAGACGCTTTTTGTCGCTCGATTAGATCCCATGAGAGTGTGGTACAATTTAAAAATCACGGCGTTGCGAAAAGAAGTCAAAACCACATGTTTTCTGGTTGGGAGAGTGGATTTTTGAGAGTTACTTACTTGCTGAACAATGAAATTTTTTGAAGATCTAATTTTTCTTCAGATTCTCCTTCTTTCCCCATTTTCATCATCTCATTCCCATCCCCATAAATAACGCCCTACTTCCCACACAATCATCGTCCTTCTCCGTTTTTATGAGATTCTTCAGAAGACCTTCAAAATCTTTTATTTCCATACTCAATTTCAGGTAACATTCCATTTCGATGAACCGTTTATTTTACTTCTTGGCGCTTCTAGTCGTCGCATTTGCCGACGATGTGGAGAATGGAACTATTGTTTCCGCGGTTAGTTGAATTTTCTGGCAAATCTTGAATTACAGTAATTTTCAGTAAGATGTGGATATTTTTCAGTTGATTTTCGGCCATTTCGATTATTTTCAGAAATCTGGACCTTGTCTGTCAAGTTTCCAATCACTTAGAAAATTTTTGAGGGTGTAGAACAGACCTAAATCAAAAACATTGCATTCACATAATTTTTTGAAAATTCTAGTTTTTTTAATTCCTAATTTTTCAGCTATTTTGCTGATTTCTGGAAGACACCCCCTTTCTGCGCGTTTTTTACTGAAAACATGAAAAAACGGGCGTCCTTCAAAATCGGCGAGTAGCTGAAAAACTAGGAAAAATAGAAGGGCCCCCACACTGCCATGTTTGAGCTGATTTACCTTGGTTCCTATTGCAAGTTATCAAAAATGTGTCAACTAATAAAATTTTTATGATATTATGTTAAACATTTATCAGTTAACAACTTCTTGACATCGATTACAGGTTTCATGATAGGTCTGTTTTATAACCTCCAAAATGTTCAAAGTGATTTGAAACTTGACAACCGATCACCAGACTCCTGAAAATTTTCAAAATGACTCAAAATCTTATTGACCGGTGCTGAATATGTTCACAGCCACCAAATAAGACTTCTGAAATAATTTATTTGATTTCTGACAACCTTATTATAAATCTCAACATCCATCAATCAATGCTTTTCTTACAGACACCGATGTGCATTGAATATGCGGATTGCATCCACAAAGCACAACAGAAGGCCGAGGAGTGTCACCTTCTGGAGAATAATACCGAGGTTCTGTAATTGAATTAATTTATTTTTGAAAACGCCCAAAGGATTACTGTAGGCCCTTTCAGAATATGAGACTACTCTGGTCCAGAGCAGTTCGTAGGATATGTCGACGGTATAGAAAGATTATCCCAGTTCGTATTTCATTCTTTTTTTTTTTCGATTCTGTCCTTTTTTCTGTCCCCTCCTTCCTTTGGGTTTCCTTCACTTTCGAAACGAAAAATTTTGGGATTGCCGTGCTGTAACACTTGGCGAATGAAATTCTCTTCTCAATAAATCGGAAAGATGAAATTCAATTTTTTTATTTTCAGACCACAAACGGAAAGAAGGGAGTGTGTACCGAAGCGAAACGAATTCACCTGGAAATCAGATCGATCCATGATCAGGTAATCCAAATGCGTTTGCAAAAATATTTTGTAAAATTGAAATTCAGATGTCCGACGAAATCGAAACATGTGTCCGTGGCAAAGCGGACAATGTCGCCGGACTCAACGAAAAGAAACACGAGAGATGTCAAGCTATTCTGAAGAAAAATGCAAAGAGAGCCGCAATTGAGCCACAGAAGAGAAGATCAAAGAAGGAGAAGAATAGCTTGAAAGCTGCGGCAAAGGTGAGATATCAACTAACTTGGGAATCTGGAATCTTGTAAGCCCAGTTTTTTAATCAAAATTTCAGGATAGGTTAAGAATAATCTATCTAGATACTTCTGAAATCTTAGAATCCGCACAATAGTTCCAGCCGGTTTTTATCAGTTTTTGTACCTTATAATCGCGATTTCAGTGCAAAAACAACGATTTTCAAAGACCTTTTTCTCAATTTTTAGGACATTTGAGAACATAAAAAATGTTAAGTTATACTTAGAATCTTATGAAATTTGATATTTCAGGTTGTTTCTCTTTTTTCGAACTTTTGGATTTCATCGAATATTCGGTGAATAAAAGTTCGAGAAAATGTCTGAAAACGCAAATTTTGGTACTGAAACTGATATAACTCGATTGAGACTGGCGAACGGAATCTGAAGTTCTCAGAAGTGTCTAGGTACCGAATTCCCACTACTAGAATCTCACCCAAACTGTTAACTTTGTGTTCAATTATCTTGATTCCTGTAAAATGTACCAAAATGTTGTCAACCGATAAATTATTTTTCATAAAATCACCAACAGTTTACCAGTTGACAAAATTTTTATATCTTTCATAGGAATCGAGATAATTGAGAGCTCAAATGTTGACGGTTTGGGAAGTTTCTATTAGAGAAAATACGGTAGGCTGTTCTTTCCCCATCCTGAAATTTCAATTGAAATCTGGATTTACAAGATGTTTGTAGGGATACGAACTCCTTGATCGTCTTACTGAAAAAATTCAGAAATCATCCACAAATAACAACTAACAACTAGTCTAGACGACCTCCCAACTCCCTACAAGAAAAACTATCGAATTTCTGATTTCCGATCCCTTTTTCCTCTTTCTATCTCAAACAATACCGCATAGTTATTCACACACATACCCCTCTCAATAAAATACACGTTTTGCAGACATGTAACAAAGAGGCTCGCCGACTCAAAAGCCAATGTGCTCGACTCGCCAAGTGTTGCCCGGCAGTTAGAGTGTTCGTTTTGTCCATTTCCTGATAATCTCTTATCTCTTGATTCCAGATGCCATCGTAATGAGGATAAGACCGAGTTGGAGGAGAAGAAGAAAGCGTTGAAGGAGGCAACCAAAGACTGTGCAACCAATGGAAAGAAGGGAAATAAAAAGGCTGGAAAACGTATTGGAGAGGATCGGGAAAGAGAGGGAAAGAAATCAAAGGGAGATAATAAGAGAACCGGGGGACTTGGAAAATCGTTGGAGAGAGCTGCAAATAAGAAGAAGGAGACTCCAATCGGAGGAAAGAAGCTAGCAGCTGCTCTTGATGAAATGCACACCTAAATTTGTTTAAATCTGTAACTGTATTTTTTAAAGTAATTATTTTCTTTATAAATTTAACATTTCTTTCCTCTTTCCCCTAAATTGTTGTGACTCTTTTCCCCAATAGGAATTCTGACCCTTCTTACACCTTACAGCTTTTTCTGCCCCCTGGATCTCACTGTTTATTTGCTTTTTTTCCGAGGTTTTTTCCAAAGCAACAAATAAATGAAATAATAATAAACCAGATCATTTCTATGAGTAATAGAAATCTTATTCTATACAAGAAATCAGAAAACAATACTCTCCCCAGAGTTCAGCTAAAGAGCACATAAAAAAGAAAAAATATACACGAAAAAACTGGTAATTGCAACCCCGGAGGTTACCGAGTTACGCACCTCCGGGTAGAGGATTTTATTGTTCTCCTACTAGTTTTTTTTGTTAGAGACGCTTCATGTGTGAAGACCATGACTTTTTACTCGCCGCAGTTTTTTTTTGATTGTGCATGTAAATATACACAATGAGGAAGAAGAAGAAAAAACGAAAAAGACAATCCGGTAATGTGGCAATGATGATGATGATCAATATCGTTTACGTCTGGTGTATGAAAGTTTACTTTTAGAATGCGCGAACCCTCCCTCCCTTCTCCCCCCCACCCTCCAACTTTGCTTTTTTGTTACGTTTACTGAAAGAAAGCCGCCACCGTCCACGCGAAATAGTGTTACGAGCTCCGGAGAGCACAGGAAACGAGCATTCCGGTTCCGCGCGGAAGATGAAAGATGGGCAAGCAATTACGGGAGTGTGCAAGTTCGGGCGTGGCAATGGAGGTTGAAAGTTGGTATATAAGCATGCTGGAAGACAACTCTACCATCCGTCCTCTTACACAGTTCGGCTCCAAACGAACCTACTGAAATGCGCTTCACCACGCTCGCCATTGCCTTTTTCGCCTGCGCCCTCGTGGTGTCTGTAAGTTTCATTCCTTTTTCTTCGAACCATTTCCTTACTTTAATCGCTTCTAGGGCAGCGTGATCCGTGAAAAGAGACAGTGTGGATGTGCTCAGCCACAGCAGAGCCAGTGCTCATGCCAACAAGTTCAACAGACCCAATCTTGCTCGTGCCAATCTGCTCCAGTCCAACAACAAGCCCCATCATGCTCTTGCGCTCAGCCACAACAAACCCAAACTGTTCAGGTAAAAATTTGATACTAAGATTCAGTTTTGATAATCCTATTCAGGTTCAAGCTACTCAATGCGCTCCAGCCTGCCAACAGAGCTGCACCCAACAGTGCCAGTCCTCCCCATCGGTGTCCCAATGCCAACCACAATGCCAGCAACAATGTCAATCCCAATGCGCTCCAATGTACAACCCACCAACCACCACTACCACCACCCAGGCTCCAGTTGTTCAGTACCAACAGTGCCAACCAGTGTGCCAGCAACAATGTCAAGCTACCTGCGTTCAGCAACAACAGCCAGCCGCTCAGTGCCAACCACAATGCCAACAGCAATGCAATGTTGCCTGTGATGCTCCATCCACCACCACCCAGGCTCCACAAGTGATCCAAATCCAACTCGAGATCCAACAAGCTCAAGCCCAATGCCAGCCACAATGCCAACAACAGTGCCAGGATTCCTGCGTTCAGCAACAACAGCCAGCCAACCAATGCGACTCTGCCTGCAACACCCAGTGCTCTGATATCTGCCAACAGACCGCCCAGGCTACCCAACAAGTCTACAACCAGAACACCAACACCCAGATGTACAACCCATATAATAACAACAACCAGAACGCCAACTGCGCCCCAGCCTGCCAGCCAGCCTGTGACAACTCCTGCACTTCCCAACAAGCTCAGCCAGTGTACCAACAAGCTCAACCAGTCTACCAACAACAAGCTCAGCCAACCTACCAGGTTCAATCTACCGCTGCTCCAATGTACGATCCATACAACAACAACAACAACCAAGGATCCAACAACTGTGCTCCAGCTTGCCAACCAGCCTGTGACAACTCCTGCACTCAACAAGCTCAACCAATGTACCAACCATACGACACCACCACCCAAGCCCCAGCTCAACAAGCCGTCATCCAAATTGTTCTCCAAACCTCTGTTGCTCAATCTGCCCAATGTGCTCCACAATGCGAACAGTCCTGCCAGCAGCAATGTGTCCAACAACAACAGCCAGCTGCTCAATGCCAGACTGCTTGCCAGTCTTCCTGCTCCAACTCCTGCCAAGCTGCTCAACCAGCCACCCAAGCCTGCCAACAGACCCAACAGAACTCGTGCTCCTGCCAAGCCAACTACTCTCCATGCGGAAATGGACAATGCTGTCGCAGAAAGTAAGAAGGACCTAATCGATCGATCGAAGATTTATGGGTACCCCGCTGCTCAACAAATCTTTTTTGTATATTTCGACCCCAAACTTTATTGTTTTTGCCTCCTTGTTTTTCATGAACTCCATTAATAAATCATTTTGAACTCTAAATGACTTCGAATCAAAGCACATTTCAACAGGTTTAGATTTCCTAGAATTCCAATAAAAAGGAACTATCCACCTATTATTTTTCTCGCGTGGGTTTTATTTGTTCACACTCTTCAAAAAAGTGCCGCCGATTGGGCAAAGATCAAAAAGATGCGAGAAAACATCTGACGGAAGCTTTTCACAACTGATAAGTGCAAGCAAGACCAATTGACGTAAAAACTGAGTAGAAGAATCTATCAAAGAAAAAAGAACGGAAAAATGAATGGATTTTGTATTAGAGTGGTGCAAAAGTTTCGGAAAATGTTATTTTTTCAAGTTTGGATGAGATCTCTTTCAGCAAACTTATCACCAATTTGTGATTGTCTGTCTACCTGTCAATAACCATTTATTTATTCTGGTAACGATTATATCAGTTTGAGATAGAATACAAGCGTATCCTTTTCTGCTTTATCACTACAGTATACACACTACACGAACTTCTAAATGTACAAACTTTATAATGGACAAAAAGGTGCGGTCATTTTTTGTTGGGGGTATAAAAAGAGAACGACAATTGACTCCCAATTAGTCTTTTCCCGTAATGCATTGTCTACTTAAATTTGTTTTTTTCCTCTTTGGAACTCTTCATGCCGAAAACATTTTGATCATCAATCCGATTTTCGGGTACAGTCATGTCAAGTTTATCAGTAAAATGGCTGATGTTATAGCTGATCATGGACATAATGTGGTGAGTTCTATTCATCTAGTAATAAATGTTAAATGAGTTAAAAAAACCAATTTCAGACACTATTCCAACCATTCCATATTGCTATGAAAAACCTCGAAGGGTTGGTTAAAAATAAGAATATCGAAATTATCAACTACTATCCGGATCATTATGAAGATTTATTGAAATCCGAAGTTCAAACGTTCCCAGAGTTTTGGGACTCGCGTCTTGTCAACAATCCGTTTCTTTCTTCATTCATGATTTCAAAAATTTTAACTGACGAATTCGCGAAAACTGGTACTCAGCTCTACCTTCTGCCCTTGGATACACCACACGAGACGGTTCAAAAGGTGCACCGAATGCTGGATACTTGGATCGGCTTAACGATGTCTACAGAAAATATTTTGAAGACTTGAGACACAATAGAATCAGAATGAACTATTATTTTGAAAGAAAGTTTCTTTCTTTTTTTTGGCAACATTTTTGATCAGATTTTCCTAAAAGCGGAGGAGGCAAGATCAATGAAAGTAACGTCCATGAGCATCGATTGTTGTCTGGCAACGCTCTGGTATTTTCTTGATTCCGTTAGCCTAGAACAGATTGAAAAAGTGAGCCAACTCCTTTTTTGTGTCATCTTTTTGATTGAAGTTTTTTTTCTGTCAAGATGACGTCCAAGAGCCCCAAACGACTATTTATCTGAGAGGGCAAGGTCCGGAGAACACGGTGGCTGCAAAATAATAGTTCAGCCAAGCGACATGAATTTTTCGTTGATCCCTCTAATCACCGGTGATCTCTCATTGTCGCGCTGGAAATGAACTTTGGATTTTTCTCCTCGCCTTGATTCGACTGTCGAATTCAACTTCTTCAATTAGGAACCATACAAGACGGCAGTCATAGTAGTGCCTACATCTAATAGTTCCCAGTCTTCGTTGCTTCGAAAAAGCACCAAATTCCTAGTATACCCTTTTTCAAGGGAAATTTAGGTTTCCGGACGTCCAGAGCTAGACCTTCTTTGTTAATCGACTGACCCTTCCGCACATTGATAGAGTAACTTACTCACTTATCACCTACGGCAATTAGATCCCTCGCCCAACTGAACGTGCGAAGAAATGATAGGTGAAACATACCCATGTCTACATAGCGAAACATATTGTAGTCCGGAAAAACACGGGGTACGAATCAACCCAGTTTTTGACTTTGCCAAGAGACTTCGATCCGTTAACAAAACTTGGTTGACAAGAGGACAATGCCTGTCACTAGGTAGTTGCCATCTTTCAAACTGAACTCTCCCTGGGCGGAATTTTTCGAACCAAACACAAATTGTAGACAATGACGGACATGTCCCTTATATACATCCACAATTTTTTGGCGATTACCAGGTGTTTGAAGACGAAATAAAAATAGAAATATAATCATGTTGCTATTGTTCAGTCGGATAAGGACCAAAAGAATCGTAATTTCATCAAAACGGAGTGAGATGAAAATTAATCAATCTACACTCTAATAGACATTGAACACAGCTTTCTAACAAAAACAAGTTGGGCCCGGTACACCTCTTCTAGAACTAGAAATCGAGCCTCAAAAACAACCCTGCGAAAAAGAAAGAAACTTTCTTTCCAACCTAATATTTCAAAAAACAATGGCGAGACCTGTTCCTTCATGGAAGGATCTTGTAACACAATCACCAACCTTCATCACAAACTCCAATCCCTACCTTGATTTTGCCGTTCCTACTACTGCGACTATTGTTCATGCTGGAGGGAATTCAATGGATTTGGAGAAGATGAAACATGTGGGATCATTGCCAGAAGAATACGAAAAAATCTTGCAAGAAAGAGAGTCTACAGTTTTAAAAGCAGTTTTAAAGCAGGACTTATCAAAATGTTCGAATTACTTCCAAATGTCACATTTATCTGGAAGTATGAAAAGGATGACACTGAATTCAAGAAGAGGGTTCCAAAAAAATGTGCATCTCAAGAAATGTGTCCCTCAGACTAATCTTCTTGCTGACAAACGAGTGAACGTGTTTATGACACATGGAGAATTGGGAAGTACAATGGAAGTTGCATACTCAGCCAAATCAGCCCTAATGGTTTCAATTAGTGGAGATCAACCTAAAAATGCATTGATGTTGGCAGTGCCGTATGATAAACGGGGAAAAATTAACTAGAAAAATGAAAGAAATGGTGACTAATACGAAGTATCAAAAGAAAGCCGAAGAGCTTTTAGATGTTCTGTCTAATCAACCAATCGATATAAAAATGTGTCTTATGAAGCATCTGGAGTTTGCTATTCAGTAAGTTTTCTAGAACACATTCAAAATAATGTATCTTTTTCAGATTCCCAAATCTGCGATCTCAAGTTCCAGAAATCTATCAAGTCGGACTGATTGCTCATTATTATTTAGACGTTGTCATGTTTTTGGCTTTCTATTCTGCACTTGCATCTTATTTGCTCTTGAAGCTGTTAATCAAAGTATATGTTAAATTGATCGGTAAAAAACTAAAACTGATTAATTTTAGTTGTTGAGTATCTAGGTTCTTTTTCATGCAATGCCTTTTTGTCCATTCTAGAAAAATATGAATTTTTGTTATATTAATAAAAAGAGAAGGAACATCCATGTTGTTTTATGGCATTCACTAAACTTTTTGAGACATAGTTCGTTCAAAGACACATCAAGTACTGAAACCAAATAACCGACCACATCGAGTTGTGGTGACAATAAAGAAGAGCCACTGATAAGTTAGTGACCTGTGACACGTTATCAGCCAACTGCCTGTTCTAGCGATTGATAAGGGAATCCAGTTATATTTTTGTTTCCTTAACTGTCATCGTTTTTGTGTCTGTTTTTTACTGAGAGCAAAATTACTTGAAAGTCACAATGTGTTCATTTAGCTTTGAACCATGTATGTTAGATTTTCAAGTTAATCAAACAGTGACGTCGTTAATCAAAAGTACACTGTTTTCCATAAATTTTTGATCCCTCCAAAATGATTGTCCCACAAACTACATTGATGCCCAGAATCGTTTCCTTCACGTGAATCTTTTCTGTTATGATGTCTCCTCAATGATAACACATCACATCTAGACGGCCGTTTAGTTTGTATTGTACAGCTGTTTAGGTTGGTATAAATTTTGATTGAAAACCTTCAGAAGCAACAACGATGAGATTGTCAAATTTCGTATTTTTTATGACAATATGGAGTTCAATCACTGCTATGAATGTTGTCTTCTACATAAATGCAATTGGAAAGAGTCATTTGGACTTCAGCGATTCTCTTGTGGACAGTTTAAAAGAGAAAGGGCATACTGTGGTGAGTCTGTCGGTCTGGAAGCCTAAAAATCTGAAAATTGCAGGACGTCATTATTGCCAGAATGAATGATCAAGTCACAGGTCATGGAAAAAGTAAGGCCGACAGATTTTATGTGTTTGGATTCAAAAATGGAAGCGACTGGAACAAAATGCACCATTTGACTAACATATTTGGGGATGTGAGATTTCCGATCAATGGATTTAGACCGTATTATGATATTGGAAATAGCTTATGTGAAAGTGAGAAGTGTCTTTACTTATTTTTTAATATCTGAAATTCCAGTTGCTTTGACCGACCAAAAACTTCATGAGTTTCTGACCTACCGAAAATATGATATTGGAATCGTGGGTACATTTGATTTTTGTGGAGTCTCCATTCTAAAATCATTCGGAATTCCATCGGTCAACACTATTAATGCCGTCCCTATTATGCCTATTGAAACAGTTACCATCGGTCTTCCAAATGCACCATCACAAGTTGTTCGTAAGTCAGACTCACCGATTTCTGCCTGCTTAAACTTTCTCATTCAGCACTTTTCCAAAAATTCGACTTATCTACTTTGTATGGAAGATTCTGGAACCTTATCAGTTGGGGATTCGTCAACTACATACAGATTCCAACTTTGAAACGAGATCAGGAACTTTTGCTTCAGAAAAGATTTGGAAATGATTTCAGTATTGAAGAGACCATCAGAAAAGTAGATTTAACATTCATCAATTCTAATGAAGTGATGGAAAAGCCAAGACCTCTTCATCATCGAATTCAATACATCGGAGGAATTAATCTGAAAAGCCCAAAGCCGGTGGACCAGAAACTAGATGAATTATTGTCCAGATCAAGAAATGGAACGATAATTTTCAGTTTTGGAACACAAGTTCCAGGAAAAGTCTATCCCAGATATGCAGTGAAGAACTTTGTGAAAGTCTTCAAGAAATATTCTGAATACACTTTTCTATGGAAATATGAAATTCAACCAGGAGAGGAGAAAATGTTCGAAGAAGCTAAAAATGTCATTTTAGTGGATTGGCTGCCACAAACTGATTTGCTGTGTAAGTGCAATGAAACAGAAATTAATTTTTAATGAATAACTTTCAGACGACCAACGAGTTATTGGATTTATCTCTCATGTTGGTTTGAACTCGTTCAATGAAGCGTCTTACGCAGGAAAACCAATTATAGCGATCCCATTGTTCGCTGATCAACCACACAATGCTGCGAATGGTATGACCCATAAAGTGGTTATCAGAACATTATCATCCACTTTTTTAGGAGTCGCTCGAGGAACCACATACCTATTGAACAAGACAAAACTAAGTGAAGAGAGCATTGAGAAGGGACTGAGAGCCATTCTTTTTGATAAGTCATATCAGGAAAAGGCCATAAAACTCCAAAAAATGTTAGTGGAAAAACCAGACCAACCAAAAGAGCGATTTGTGCAATGGATGGAATACGCAGCGGCGAATCCAGGGCTTCACAGGATTTTTGAACTTCCTGGATCGAGAATGGGAATATTGAGTATTACTGTGTGGATGCAATTGTTCTGTTGATTTCTGTAGCTGCTTTGGGTTTTTATCTGATCGTGAAAGTAACGAAAATCTTATCTTCAAAAATCATGTTAATGAAAAAGGTGAAGCACGAGTAGATGGCAAATATCTGTCAGAATTTTTCCCGAGTTAAATACTAGTCGAATGTATTTTTCCAGTGTTTGTATAATTGAATGGTCTTGTGAAAAATAAAGGTTTCCTCTTAATGAAATTGAACATTGATAGGCATACTTGTAATCCGGGCCTTTGCTGGGCCTACGCGGGCCCTACCATAACTTCTTTCAGAATCTATATTTTCGAACCAACTAAATCAGATATGATAGAGCTCCACGAGTACTACAAAACGATATTGTTTGGAATACTGTATCTTATCTATGAACAAAGTTACAGAGCAAAAGGAGCAAAAAAAAGCAAGCCCGCCCCGGGCCTGCCGGGCCCTGCGAGAAAAGCCACTTTATGATCTGTAACTTTGTTCATAGATAAGATACAGTATTCCAAACAATATTGTTTTGTAGTACTCGTGGAGCTCTATCATATCTGATTTAGTTGGTTCGAAAATATAGATTCTGAAAGAAATGATGGCAAGGCCCGCGAAGGCCCGGCAAAGGCCCGGATTACAAGTATGTTGATAGGTAATTTTGGATACAAATTATGAATTAATGAACAACGAGTAAAGTTCTCATTGATTTTCTCCTCCCGACAAATCAGAAATTTTGAATTGCAACCTGAATTAAAGGAAAAATAAAATAGAGCCTCGATTAGCAGTAGGGAGAGCTTCGAAAAATCTCCACGAAAAACATAATCTGTTTTATTCTAATTCTTGTCATGTCTTTCCGAGAGATGATGTCAAAAAGAGATGTTTTAATTTCATTCTTCACATATCGACTTCTCAGAAGGATTGTTGAATTTTTTTTGAGTTAGCTAAGTTTTGAAAATGAATGCGCAGTAACCGAACTAGAGACACTAGACTAATATAAACTTTACAGCTGAAATTGATAGAACATATTTTAAGAATGCTCATTATCAGGTTGCAAGTGTTAAAGGCATTTTCAGCTCTGACAGCTCAAAATTGAGCTCAAGTTTTAAACTGAAAAATATTGCGGGATTGAAAAATTTTTAACGCTCTAAATAAGGTTCGAGAAATGTTCTAAATTATTAAAAATGTCATTGAAGTAGGGAATAAGAATTTCAGTAGTCCAATCAAGTTTTTAACAAAAATGGAAATTTAAGTTTTGCTTTTTCAAAAATGGAAATTTAAGTTTTGCTTAAATGAGAAACAACGACCCAGAATATCATAACAACAATCAGTATACAATTCAAACCACTGAAAATGTGTTTCCTTTTCAGCTGAAAAACTCGCCCGTGAGCAAAATTATTAAGACACATTCTCTGAAAGAATTGATATCGAGTCAACAGACGATGGCAATGGAAGAATTCAAAATGGTCGTAGAAGTCTGATATTGTATGTGGTGGGTATAGGGACTACTCTAAGACTTAGTACCCATAGTCCACGTCCCCTCCTGGGCGCGATGACATACCGTAACCCTGAAAAATTATTTTTGTTCAAGATGATGATATCGACCCAAATGTTTCAGATTTCCGTTCCTGGTACTATTATGACCATTTTTTGTGTTGAGACCAATTTTCTACAGTAATCCTGAAGTAGAGAAAATTTTTGGATTTTTTTTTCACTTTCGAATTTTTGTAGAGAAAATTTTTGGATTTTTTTTTCACTTTCGAATTTTTGGATTTTTTTTTCACTTTTTTGGAAATTTCTCAGAAATTTTCCACTGTTTAAAAAACCAAACCCTAATAGTTTGATGCTATGGACCTGCTTACACTGTAGTACCATAGTGCCATAAAAAATCCGATGCCCTCAAAAGGGTTTTAGTCGAAAAAGTGCGAAAACACCATGTGGGGGAGTACATGGTAACTAAAATTCGCCCAAAATCGACCATCTCCAATTTTGACCAAATTTGTATCGTTTGAACTTCGGATTTCAATAAATCTTCATAATGATCCGGATAGTAGTTGATAATTTCGATATTCTTATTTTTAACCAACCCTTCGATACAGTGTCTCAAATACTATCATTTTGTAGGGCTCGTCGAGTTCTACCACATCTAATTTAGTTGGTCAAAAATATCAATCCTAAAAGAAACTATGACAGGGCCCGCCACGGCCCGCTTTGGGCCCGTCCGCAAGTATGAAATTAAGTCAATGAAAAAATTGTATTTTTGCAACAAAAAAGAAATTCCAATTGAAATTCGAATTTTATGTTCCCAAGAAATTCTTTTTTCAATATGAAAAATACAAAAAAAAATCCTGTTTCGGCCGTTTTCCACTAGAAAAAAATGCAAAAATCCTGTTTCGGCCGTATAAAATATTAATTTAACAAAAAAATAAGGAAAAGAGCACGGCCTCATCAGTAGTGGACTCTTTGATTGTTAATTTCTAGAAAACGATTTCCCCAAATTTTGCAGTCTGTCGCATCTTCTAGAATATTGCAATGTCATCTGATCCCCAACAACTCGAGGAGAATGCGGTCCGCTTGCTGAAAGCTGAAATTCAGGCCATTCATCCGTCGATTGTTAGTAGTACGATTTTGATCGTGAATCCACGAGTGTTTCGAAACACCAGACTCTAGCGAAGATCTGAGAATCCACGCAAAGGTTAACGGATCTGGCACAGGTGGTGGAGAAGTTCGCTTCTGGGCGGGAGTAATCAGAAACGGGAAGAAGGTGAACATTGCCACTGGTTCTTCACGCAATGCTCATATGACACCTCCACCATCTTCGTTGTTAGAGCCACTGTCAGCAACTTTAGCCGATATTCCGTCGCCTGAAGCCTCTACACCGATTGCTGTTACGATCAACGTGTGCACAAGCAAAATCTTGACCAAAGCAGACATCACGATCAACGTCGATAGTATCAATTAGGAAAAAACTATAATTCTCTTCTGAAAATTATGTTACAACAAAAAATAAATAAATTAGTTGTACTTAAAACAGCTTTCTTTTCTGTGAATTTTGCTGAGGAGAGCACACTAACTGGGAGGAGAAGAAAAAGTGGGAAGAACCATCTGGGAGGAAAAATGGGCGGAGCCTAA